CACGTAACACATAAAGATGGAATCACTAGGTCACCTGACTCGATCCACTGCTCTTGCTCTTCTAATGCACCATGTTATTCAAGTGAACTTTCCCACCAACTTAAAATATCATTGCCTAAGTGTTTTATACCAATCAATAATATACCATGGCATTTTCTCAAATTTTGGCCAAAGATATAATACAAAACTATAATTTAAATTCTCATACCCTTTCTGGGTATGTTAGGAGTTGACAGAAGTTGCTTTAAGTGTTTTGTCATCATTATTTTAAAAATCTGACCAGACAGATTTGTAGACTGGTTGGGATATGGGGAGGGAAGAGGTGGTGATGGTGGACTGAGTCTCTAGTGAAACAATGATTACAAGCTTTGCGTTGGGGAAAGGTGATGTTAGAATATAGCTCACTGCTCTAAATAGTGAAGACCTTTTTTTTTCCAATGTGATTTACTGATTTGCTCTAGTTTTTGTTTCATCTTCAATTGCTCCATCTCTCTATCCTAAGATGGCAAGTCTAATCATATTGATTGACCTAAAAAAAAGAGAAAAGATTAATTTTATGTTAATCCATTGAGACTCTGGGTTTGAAAATTATTTTTCCTTTACTACTTTCTTCTTGCCAAACCTCAAACAAACTACTACCCTCCAAGACGGTCTGTTCTGCTTGTTTTGGAGCTCCTTACTTTTAAAATATTTGAATCTGGTCTCTTACCCCACTCTGGGCCTAGAGTTCACAGCCAAGTGCAAAATAATCTGGAAAGGATGGTGGTATGAAAATATGTACCTTGGCTGTGTGCTCCCTACTGAGTGGCTGACAATATTTCTTGTTATAGATTTGAACAAACGTAAGTCTCTTGCTCCAAAAGGGACTGAGTTTTCCTCTTGGATAGTTTGTGTTCTTCTCCATGTCTTCTTGAGATTTCTGTGGAGAAATGAGCCCTCTTACCCTTGGGCTGAGCAGAAGATAATGCTGGGGTCCTGGAAATGTCAGAGCTCACTTTGAATGCCAGTGTTGATGGGAGAAAAACCCATCTACTTTAAAACAAGTTTTAGTAATGACTTTGGTGGAATTGGCCAAGTGACAGGTGGGGAAATTGTTTTACTAGCATTATGCCACATGCTAAACAGATTTTAAGAACACTGTGTACCTTTAATAAAGCAAAAGTAAAACCTTAAGTGTCTATTATAGTACACACACATACATACACATAGACCAACTACATGTAATTAGTAATCATTATCATCCACTTAATGTTTGTAGTTTGCAAAACATTTTCACATGTAATTTTATTTAATCCTTACAATAAATCCCAGAGGGAATTCCTTATTATTAGACCATGCTAGTAGAAACAGAATGGCATAGAGCTAGGTTCTGGTGAGATTTGGAGCCCCAAAGGTTCAAGTGGTCATGAGACTGAGCTGTCATCAGGGAGACAACATAATGAAGAAAGGCAACTGAGAATCACAACATCTGGTTAAGGTGTTAGGTGTGCAGCCTTGAGCAAGTTTCTTTAAATATGTCTGGTTTCAGTTTCCACATGCTAGTTTTCATAATTCATTATTCATGGTCTCTAAAAGCAGACCTGACTTCAAGGAGAGCAAGCACTGAGTTTGTGGTAAACTTGAGCTCTTCTTTTAGAAGCAGCTGAGACCACTTAACTAGTTAGTCTTAGTCTTCGAGGAAATGCTCATGTCTAGCTAGATGGAAACAGCCTCCCATGACTTCCTGCCCCAGCTGCCCTAACATGGTACCACTCAACACCAAGAATGACAGTGTGAATATTATCGGGAAACTAACTACAGCCCTAATATGACCTGCAGCGTGATGGCTAAGATAGCCAACTCAAGCTTTGTCCACTGTAAAACTACTATAAGATTATAGGAAAATGACAATCTAACTGTCGTCCACCTGGATCAGATCACATCTGAAGTTAATTTCTGGATTTACATTTTAAGGGACTCACTGACAAACTGGCGGACATCAGAAGAGGGTAAGCAGGATGGTGAAGACTCTTTAAACATTGTCATAAGTCACAGACTGTACAGTGCCCTGCAATTTTCCAGTGCTTTGCTGACATTCATCCCTCCCAAAAACTAGTGAGACAGGCTAGTGGGATAGATTACTCTGCACCAGTGTCATGGTTAAAAAGAATTTTCTATCCTAAATATTTAAGAATCTATGGCTTCTCCACAGCACAAGCAGCAGTGTGCAAATGTTTGCCAGTAAGTGAATTTGGTTTCAGAACTTAGTAACTGAATAAAGAATAAAAGGCACAGGGAGGCTAATGCTAGGAACTTAGACGTGTGTAATAAAGCTATCAGCAAGCTGTTTCATGAACTTAACACCAACAGAAAATCAAGTTATGCCTAGGTGATCATCTGCAGAGATTTAGTTAGGTCCAACAAGTTATTAAGTACAAACTATATGATAGTCACCAAGGGTCATGAGGGCAGTTGAAAATAAATCAATCCTGGTCCCTGTCCTCAAGAAGAGTAGAGGGTAGGAAAAGCTGATATGTAAACTGATAAAGGCATCACTAGAAGTATATACAAGGTACAGAAGTAGTACTGTGGATTTCAAGAATAAATAAAAATTTGTCAGGAGGAGCTTGGGCAAAAAGCAGTCCAGGCAAAAGGAATACCCCTGGTGTGCTTGGAATCTTCTAGTAGTAGATATCTAGTAGTATCACCGTAGAACAGTTCTTTTCTTTGGGTGTAACAGCAAGATTATTTCTATAGTCCTTTCAAAAGTTAACCTTTAAACCCTTCAGAAATCTAAGCTCTTATCATCTCTGGTAATTCTATGGGAGGGTTAGCTCAAGACAACAGCTTTAAATAGTGACCAGTTCTCTACAAGTGCTAATATTAATACATCCAGAAAAGTTAAGGGCTTTGTAGTGTGTGTGTTAAGGCACGCTATAGTCTTAGAACCCACATGTTTAAGCAATTCTGAGCAGAAGGAAGTCTAGAACTAACATTTGAAAAATGATTAAGGGACCGTTAACTTACAAATCAAACCCAACTTTCCCTAGTGGTTGCTTAAATTCTGGACCCTTAAACATTATTTTTGAGAAGGGGCCTGTTACCCTAGTACTTAAAACTTAAGCCAATGTTATCACTCTTTGTTCCCTTACCTTGCTTTATTTTCTTCACAGAACTTACTGTATGACTGAAGTCCAGTGGGACTTGGCTTGTGTCCCACTGTATCGTAAGCTCTTTAAAGACAGAATGTCTGTCTTGTTTATTGCTGTCTTCTCAGAGCCTATAATATGTAACTGGCACACATTAGAGCTTTCATTTCATTCACTGAGTGAATGAGTCTTTAGCTGAGGGAATGTGAGCACTAGATACCTACCTGGTCAGCTGTGATGAAGCTGCACGCCCTTTTTACCTACACAGGTTTTACAATGCTGCCCTACTTTCCATGTAGTTGGAGCAGGCCTTTATCACTTTTAAGGCACTTGACAAGTAAAATGCCACCATTAGTGAAAAGCAAAGGTTTCTGATTTACTAAACTCCAGGGGTGGTGGGAATAAGGGAAGAACATGTGCTAAGTACTTCTTTGGTTCTTTAGCCCTGTCCCTAGGATCTCTACAGTTGGTCCAATAGCATCAGATTCTACTTTTCATCTTTAATGGTGTTCACAAATACTAAATTCATTGTAAAAGGTTGTACATTACCTCCACAGATCAAAGACAGTAAAATAGTGACAAAATGCCATAGGATGGTTCTCATTACATGCTCAATACCTATCAGGAGATATGAATTTCAGTGTGTCAGAGGTTAGCAGATACTCTGGAGATCTACTAATATGCTTTTTGCACTCTAGGACATCTGAAAAGGCTGAGAGGGCTGGGATCTGGGACCAGCCTGACCTTTCGGAGACTATGATGGGGCAGTAATGCTGACTCCGGCTGAGATGATCTAAAGACGACTGAGAATGGACACTCTCCTTCTCCCCTTTTTATTCTAATGAAGACAATCTGGAACTTAACTAAGAACTTGACTTTTCATTTTAGACATTGCTTAGTGTGTCTCAAACTGATTAAACTGAAAACCTTGGAGTCATCTTTGATTTTTCTACCCTCTTTAGTTCCTATTAAGTCACCCAGCTGATTGAAAAATTTTCAATTTGCCTCTCCTTTTTCACTTCTATTGCCACAGGATTATGTCTCAACTACTGCAACAGTTTTCTAAATGGTCTCCAGTCTCTCCCTCCTCTAATCCTTCCTATTTACTATCACTCTAAGACATTTTAAGAATATCCAACTTCACCTGGTAATCCTCAATTGAAAACAAAAAACAAAAACCATCACCACCAGATACCCAAATACTCCAATGACTTAATGTTTAATGGATACTCCTCAGCCTGGAGCTGAAGACATTCTACAACTGATCCAAATCTTCTAATTGTGTGTTTTTCATTTATTATTACCACCCCTTCCCCACCTCTATTTCAGTCAGGTTGGTCTACCACCATCCTAATATACTAAATTCAATCCCCACATTTTGATGATACTGACTTTCTAACGGGGAAACATTTAAGGCTGTTCACAGGATTACCCAAATCCTACGTATTCTTCCAAATGAAGTTGTCTCTTCTAGGTCCTCTTCTACTCTTGGCTTCCTTCTGTTCTAAAGTTCTGTAAAACTCACTATCTATTCCATCCATTGTGCTAGGTTCATATTCCACCTTGAAATTTAACCAAATTCTTTCATGTTTCTATTTCATGTGCATGTCTTACATCAAATACTAAGCATCTGCTGAAGGTCCCTGAAGAAATTTGTAGTCTCATTTGTTTCTTAAACTATTAAATTGATTATAACAATCACTAATTAATTGAACCCACAAGGGTTTATAAATTTCCTTTGCATATAAGGATGCCTGTTCCATGTTAAGGGCCAAATAGGACTATCTTCTTGTATTACCATGCAATCTTAACATTCTACTTTTGCATATGAATAAGTTAAATATTTGAGAGTAGACAGATGACACAATTTTCTTATTATTTTTTATTCCTGAACTTATTTTTTAAAGAGTTGTGGCCTATTACCTCAAAATAAGATGCCAATAAATTAATTCATGAATACTAAAGAAAATTGAAGATGCTAATAGACTCTTATGTGAAATAGTTTAGAATTCACTTAATAACTTTTTAGACTTAAATCTCTATCTGGAAAATCTGAACATATCAAAGAGACTACAGCTGGGTCCTTCAAACGCTGTAGCACTAACACCTGAAAAAAAAAAACCAAAACAAAAAAACACGAGGAGGTTCTGGGCCTAGGAGAACACTCTTTAATGATAAAACCTGTCCAAGTACTAAAGACAATTAGAGTAGGCAGGTGACGTGTACAAAGTATTAGTGATAACACAACATTCAGCTTCCTAAGAGTTAAAATGTGCTGCTTACGTGAAGGGAGATGATACTGAGCTAAGAAGTCGTGGTATAGAGAAGCAGAGAGACCAATCTACTTCATATTATTTATAGAATAGAGAATATTCTCAGCTAACATGCTGGAAAAAAAGTTGTTCCAAAAAGGTAGAATTACAATCAATGCCAAGATTTACAAATTCCATCATGTTTAAATATAAGGACAAAAATAAACATTTCTTATTTTTAAAAAACCCACAAACTTCCCAAACTATAGCTTATCTGTTAGCACTTATCAGTCTGACTATTCTTTAAAGGCCTTAAAACATGAATTTGGGATAAGAACAAATAAAAGTGCCCAAGTTTTAAGAAGCCATATGTTAACTTAGGATGTTATCTATATATTTTTTAGACCAATCAATGTTTTTTAAGAGGTGTAGATACTGGTAACTTTTCTCTTTAAATAAATGTTTATATATCTCACCAACAACACTAGCCTGTGGCACATAGCATGTTTAATAAAAACACATTGCTATTAAAAAAAAAAAAAGTATACCGAAACAGAAAAAAAAAAAACCCAAAAAACCCACCTCCAGTTTCAACAGAAAAACTTACATCCAGAGATTCTTTTCCCATTATCTTTTAGGACAACCACAGAACTATTTCAACCTGTACCCTTAATCCAGCAGATACATCTTAATAAAAGAACTCTAATTGCTAAGTACTGAAATAAAACATTACTTACAGTAATTTCCTAGTTATCTACAACTTTCTTCTTGTAGCAATTGTCAACTTCTTAAGATGACTTGTTTTTATAAGCTCCTCAGTGTCAATATATCCCAACAATACAATTAGTACTTGTACAATGTATTGCTTCACACATAATTAATAATATAAAACATCATTTCACTAAAGAAAAATACACATTCAATATAGTCAAGTTCTAGTTTTAAAAAGAAGCACTCGAAGAGTTTTCTTCTGAATTCATTTCTCCAGAAGACCAGTCCTTAAAGACTTCTGGAGTCTAGCTATGTTGGCATCTAATGCCGCAAGGCCATTTCTGAAGTCTTGTTCATCACGAGAAGTGAACGTTGAAAATGAAGAGATGCTCCAGTCAGACATCAAGTCAGAAGTGAAAACACTACCGTCACAGACAGTATTGCCTTTCACTTGAAGGCTGTTGCTAAGACAACCTGATGGGCCATGACATGCAGTTTGTTCCTCTGGCTCCTTGGTGGCGGCAGGGATCTTACCAATTGCTTCCTTTATTTTATTGAGGAGCTGTGTGTCCTTCATATCAGATGCTCTGGAAAGTTTTTCAGGTGCATCTTCTGCTTCCTTTGTTGAAGAGGAACAGACTACAGGTGTACACAGTTTATTTTCTTTTCCAGAGACAGCATGTCCACTGTTGCTAACTAGCTGTGTTGTAGCTGCTCTTATCTGTGGCTGAGGGGACAGTCTCTTAGAAAGTGGTGATTTCTTTTCAGAAGTGCTTCTAGCAAAAGGAATGTAAATTGTATTATCCAAATTATGCTCATCTTCTATTAAAGCCATAGTTTCGCTCCCTTCATCAGAATCTTGTTTTGAAAGGGCAGAAATAATTCCAGGTGCAGATACTTCCTCCATGCCCCTAGTGTTACTATTTTGAGGGCTTCTGGAGGACAGAACATTTTCATAGGGTTTGTCTGGCTCTATGGTTTCCTCATTCTTAATTGTAGACAGTGGCTCTGAATGTGTAAAACTGTAATTTGTTTCTAACTTATTTAGATAACTCATTATGGAAGTGTGAGCAGGAGCTGGGACATGTTGAAGTTGTTTATCATGAATGTTCAAGAGTGATTTGGTAAGATTATTCCCAGGCTTGCAGCGAGCACTGTCCACACTAAGATCGGAGAGAAGCTTTGCCATGCTAGTCTGTAAAGTTCTGTTAAGAAGAATTTAGAACACTAATTATTATTATTTTTAGCTGTTTCTTTAATTCACTTATCTATACCTCCATCTTTTAAAAAGGGATTTGAGAGAAGTGCCTGGTTCTCAATATGAAAAGCGACTAGAAGCACAAAATCACAGAATGTGCTTTGGCAAGAGCATATAATTAAAATAACAATGATAAAATATGTTGGTCTGTATCAAATCTATCACTATGTCTAAAAATAGAGGCTCAGAATTTTTTTTTAAGGTATGGAGATATTTTATTCTTTTCTTTTGTTTTATTGAGATGGAGTCTCATTCTGTCACCCAGACTGGAGTGCAGTGACATGATCTCAGCTCATTGCAACTTCTGCCTTCCAGGTTCAAGTGATCCTCTCGCCTCAGCCTCCTGAGTAGCTGGGATTACATGTGCGCCATCACCATACCTGGCTAATTTTTGTATTTTTAGTAGAGACAGGGTTTCACCATGTTGGCCAGGTTGGTCTTGAACTCCTGGCCTCAAGTGATCTGCCCGCCTCAGCCTCCCAAAGTGCTGGGATTACAGGCATGAGCCACCACGCCCAGCCGAGAGGGTTTATTCTTGAGCAGCACTACAAATTGAGCCCTAGAGTAAAAAACTGGCCTAACAAAGGTAGGCTAAGATACAAAGGGAAACACACTATTCATTTGTTATGAATTCTGTTAGAAATTATTTCCCTCCATTATATATGTTTGTGTGTGTGTGTGTCGGGGGCACAATACTAGAAAAAAAGGATAGTTAGAGATAATTATCTGGCATAATAGGTATAAGCAACAGCTAGGTACTAGAAAGGTGTATAAGGAAAACCATACAAGGTTTGAAGTTAGAAATGGAATCAAATCCCAGTGCCATCATTAGCTGTGATCTTGGGCAAGTCATTTAACCTTTCTGAATCTCAAGTCTCTCACCTGTAAAATGAAGATATTTCTGAACTACAATGAAGCTTAAATAAGATAAAATAATAAGGTATAAAGGTAAAGTACTTAGCGTGGTCTAAGTGGGTGTTTGTTTGATGGCAACCTTTATTAGCAGTCCTATTAAAGCCTTTTTTTTGTTTTTTTTGAGACAGAGTCTTGCTCTGTCACCCAGGCTGGAGTGCAGTGGCGCAATCTCGGCTCACTGCAAGCTCCACCTCCTGGGTTCATGCCTTTCTCCTGCCTCAGCCTCCCAAGTAGCTGGGACTACAGGCACTTGCCACAACGCCCGGTTAATCTTTTTGCATTTTTTAGTAGAGACGGGGTTTCACTGTGTTAGCCAGGATGGTCTCGATCTCCTGATCTTGTGATCTGCCCTCCTTAGCCTCCCAAAGTGCTGGGATTACAGGCATGAGCCACCATGCCCAGCCTAAAGCTATTTTATACTAAGAGTTTAGTCTATTTAAATTGAATCATATATGGTCTCAAAAATCAGTGAAGGCTGGGCACGGTTAAAAGGAACAGTTTCACCTCTTTCCAAGCCAGTTAAGTACCACACAGGAGGAGTCCCCTGGGCCTACAGTTTCTACCGCAGAAAAAGAAAGCTGGAGGTGAACACTCAACTGACCCGGCACTCCGGGATGCTTCTCAGGAAGCCCACTTGTGCATTACCCCACGTGTTCTTACAGGGCTAGACCATCTGGGGTTAGCAAAAAACAAAGAAGGGGATGGGGCTCATAGCGGCTACAGCACAGATCTTGGCAATGACTCTGCATTCCTGCCAATAGAAGCACCAGATCAGAGAGACCAGTCAAAAGCACTGCTTTGCAGAAAGCACAGTTGACAGGTTTGGCAGGGCCAAGTCCCTACGACTATCACACCCAAGCCTTCCCCAACCCTTAAGCAGAGTCTCAATTCTCTGCTTAAAGTTTTCCTAGGCCAGGAGGCAAGTATGCGGTGGCACCTAAGGGTAGAAGAGAGCATCTGGTCCTGTAAGAACTGAGAGGGCGAGCGGTAACCCCACCCAGCCTCAGTACTCTGCTTATGGCTTCCCCAGACCCAGAGGCAAGTGCACATTAGCATAAATCTGTGGAGGTCCGCATCCGGCCCTGCCAGACTCTAGTGACCCTACCTAACTTCACAGCTGTATATATAGTTTCCTGAGGCCAGGAGGCAAACCTGCATCCCTGCATATCTGCAGAACACAGTAACTGGCCCCGCTCAATCTTAGCAGTTAAGCAGTGACTCCACTCTGCTTTGAAGTCCAGCCTGAGGTGCTGCCCAGGCCCAGGCAGGGAGGCAAACCTGTGACTGCACACCGTGGAGTAATCTCTGGCCCTGCCTGTCACGAGTGGCTGGGCAGAAAACCCAGCACCATTGAAGCCCAGCCTGCAACCCTACCCAATTAGATTCTAAACAGCAGTAGCACTCAGCCAGGGAATATAGCCTGCAACTCTGCCCAAGCAAAGGTGATTGCAGAGCCCAGCCGGCAGCTTCACCTGACCTTGGAACCCAGTCAGTGGCCTCACTCGTTGATGGAGCACAGCCATTGGTTTCACAAGGCCATGGAGCACAGCCAATAGCTCCATTGACCTCAAAGCACAGGTAGCAGCCCAGTTAGAGCATCCAACAGCAAGGTCTGCCTGCCTATGGTCACTACCAGATGGCCAATCCAGAATCGCAGGCTAGACTAAATAGTGAAGGTCTATCCCTTCACCTCAGGTGAGAGGGGGGTAGGGCAGAACACCCGCAAAAGCTGGAAGAGGTGGCCACTTCTTCAAGTGCACAGACACCAATGCAAGGATACAAGGATTATGAAGAATCAGAAAAATGACACCACTAAAAGAAAGTAATAAAGCACCAATAATGGACTCTAAAGAAATGAGACCTATGAAATCAGAGACAAAGAATTGAGAATAATCCTCTCTTTAAAATGTTCAGGGAACTACAAGACAATACAGATAAAAAATTAAATGAAATTTGGAAAACAATTAAAACAGTAAGTTTGACAAAGAAATAGAAACAAATTTTTAAAATCAAATAGATATCTAAGAGATAAAAAAATACAGGATTTAAACTGAAAAATTCAATAAAATACTTCAATAGTATACTTGATCAAGCAGAGGAATTAGTGAGCCTGAAAAGAGGACATTTAAAATTATCCAGTCAGAAGAGGAAATAAAGAATGAAAAAGAATGAACGCCTACAGGTATTATGAGACACCACCTGAGAAACAGGAGTGCCTGAAGGAGAAGACAGAGAAAAATGGCCAGAAAGCATATTTAGGAAAATAATGGCTGAAAATTCTCCAAATCTAGGGAAAGACACCAACATTCAGGTACAGGAAGCTCAGAGGTCTCCAATCCAATTTAACCTAAAGAGAAGTTCACCAAGACACGCCGTAACCAAACTGTTAAAATTCAAAGATAACTGTTAAAATTCAAAGCAGCAAGAGATAATAAACATCACACACTAGGGAGCCCCAATATGGCTAACAGTGGACTTCTCAACAAAAACAACCTGTCAGCCAAGAATACTTTATCCAGCAAAACTGCCCTTCAGAAATGAGGGAGAAATAAAAACTTTCCCAGACAAATGCTAAGGGAGTTCATCATCAGTAGGCCTATCTTACAAGAATCGCTAAAACACGTTCTTTAAGCTGAAGTAAAAGGTCACTAATTAATACCATAAAACACATGCAATTATAAAACTCAATGGTATAAGTAATACATAATCATATTCGGAATACTCTAGTACCTTAATGGTGGTATGTAAAGCAATTTTATCTCTAATATGAGGGTTAAAAGACAAAACTATTAAAAACAACTATAGTTACAGGATATAAATTAGAAAAAGACGTAAATTTTGAAATCAAGATCATAAAATGTGGAAGAGGGGAGTAAAAGTGTAGTTTTTGTATGTGATTAAAGTTATTATCAGCTTAAAATAGCCTAAGTATAAGATGTTTTATGTAAACCTCAGGGTAACCACAAAGCAAAAACCTACAGAATTTGCACAGAACATGAAAAGGATTCAAAGCGTACCATTACAGAAAACCATCAAACCACAAAGGAAGGCAACAGAGGGAGAAAGAAAGGATCTACAAAACAATTACAAAATAAATTACAAAATAGCAGTAGCAAGTCCTTGCCTATCAGCAATTACCTTGAATGTAAATAGAGTAAATTCTCTAATCAAAAGACAGAGTGGGTAAATGAATCAAAAACTGTATGCTGCTTACACGAGGCTTCCTCTAAGGTAAAGCACACACACAGACTGAAAGTAAAGAGATGGAAAAATATACTCCACAGGAAAGGAAACCAAGAAAGCAGGGGTAGCTATACTCATATCAGACAACAGACTTTAAGTCAAAAACTGTAAAAAGAGGCAAAGAAGATCACTATATAATGATAAAGGCGTCAATCTGCAATTGTAAGAATATATGCAGCACCCAACATTGGAGCAATTAAATAATAAAGCGACTATTAAATGATCTGAAGGGACAGACAGACTGAGTGAGGGATTTCAGTACCCGGCTCTCAACATTGTACAGATCATTTAGATAGAAAATCAATAAGGAAAACATTTAGATACAATTCTAACATTTAGATATAAAATCAATAAGGAAAATCAATGAGGAAACATCTCGAATTACACTTTAGACCAGGGGTGTCCAAACTTTTGCCTTCCCAGGGCCACACTGGAAGAAGAATTGTCTTGGGCCACACATAAAATACATTAACACTAACGACAGCTGATGAGCTTAAATTTGTGTCAAAAAAAAACTCATAATGTTTTAAGAAAGTTTATGAATTTGTGTTGAGCCACATTCAAACCATCCTGGGCTGCATGCGGCTCAGGGACCATGAGTTGGACAAGCTTGGTTTAGACCAAATAGATCTCATAGATGTAACAGAACATTCCATTCTACAGCAACAGAGTACACATTCTTCTCTCACGCACACAGAACATTCTTCAGGATAGATTATGTTAGACCACAAAATAATTCTTAACAAATTTAAGGAGACTGGAATCATATCAAGTATCTTCTGATTCCAA